TTTCCAATTACCTCGCCCCGGGCTTCTCGTACTCAAAATATTTAGCGTCCTTCGACATTTCTGAAACAAAAGGTTTTTTCTGTTATGAGTATATCACCAATGTTAGTCAGTTAGATGAAACCTCTTTACCGCCTCACACTGCTTTCTTTTCTTCTCTTAAAAACTGCAATATTTCTGCGGCTGATTATTCTCTCTGTCAAAAAGTCTGGGTAGATAAAAAAAATGAACACTTTAAGAGATTTTCTGATCTGGTATAATAATAAAGATGTAGTTCCCTTCATAGCCGCTTTAGAAAAACAGGTATCTTTTTATTCTAGTTTAGGTGTAGATATGTTCAAAAATGCTATTTCTGTTCCTGGCGTTACCCTCCGCTATCTTTTTCAAACTCTAGCTGCTGACGTGTCATTTTCACTCTGTTCCAAACGTGAGGCCGGACTCCATCAGACACTTAGAGACAACATAGTGGGGGGCCCTTCTATTATTTTTCACAGATACCATGAAAAGGGTAAGACCTTTGTTAGAGGAGGAAAACCAGTCCAGTCGGTAAAAGGCTTTGACGCCAACGCTCTCTACCTTTGGGCGCTGATGCAGAAAATGCCGACTGACTTTCCTATCGTTAGGAAAGCGGAGAATGGATTCCGAGTCGAGAAATTCAACTGGTTTACTATTCAAAATAGAGAGTGGCTAGCGTGGATGGCGCACCACACAAACACCCACCTGAAAACCCAATTTAACGGTCGGGAGATGAGTCTGGGTGACAGGCACATTAGAGTCGACGGGTGGGATCAGTCCACTCGTACTGCTTACCAGTTCCACGGCTGTACCTTTCACGGCCACCCAGACTGCCCTTTAACCCAGGGCAAAACTATTAACTCCGTGAATAAAAAAAGCCTGGTCAAACTATATCAAAAGACCAGGGAGATCCGCGATTACTTGGTGAACGAGGTGGGTTTTACAGTTGTAGAAATGTGGGAGTGTGACTGGCAAAAAGTTAGAAAGACTGATCCCATCGACAAATTTCTGGCCAGTAGATTCTCCCGTGTTAGACACGACTGGGAGGCGTATCCTATATCAGAGGAACACATTCTCCAACAAGTCCGCGATGAGACATTCTTTGGGTTAGTTGAGTGTGACATCGAGGTCCCTAAACACTTAGAGGCCAAGTTTTCGGAAATGACACCCATTTTTAAAAACATAGAGGTGACTAGGGACGACGTAGGTGACTTTATGAAGGCGTACACGATTGAAAATAAAATATTGACGGGGGCGCGTAGGACACTGATAGGGAGTTATAAAGGGGTAAAAATTTTGTTAGCGACTCCCTTGTTAAAGTGGTATTTAGAACAGAAATTAGTGGTGACCAAAATTTACCAAATCATAGAGTACCACCCAGTGAAGTGCTTCGAGAAATTTGGGGATACCGTGTCAGAGGCCCGACGCGCGGGTGACAGTGACCCGTCCAAGGCGCTCACTGGGGAGACTATGAAATTATTAGGGAATGCCGCGTATGGTAAGACTTTGACCAACAAGTCAAAACATACCGACGTCTCCTACTGTCTTGGGGCTAGTACCTCGACAAAAGTCAATAATCCCCTATTTAAGAAAATGTCGAACCTGAGCGGCAACCTTTATGAAGTAGAGATGTTAAAGAAGAAGACAGTTTGGGATCTCCCTCTCCAGATAGGGTTTTTTGTATACCAGTATGCCAAATTAAGAATGTTAGAGTTCTATTACGACTTTTTAGACAAATTTATAGATAGGGCCGACTTTCAACTCTGTGAAGTTCTATAGTATCTATGATCAATGGTTTCCCTCTGAAGTCTGTCTTGCGCACAAGTCTCTATTTGTTTCCAACGAGGGTAACGTCTCCTTAGACTGTCATAGAGAGTCATAACCTCTGCCCTATGTGCCACACTCGACACAAGAGGAAAGACTAACTAACTAACTAACTAAAATTTTGTCTGTCCTAACTTGATGAAACAAAATGGAAAGGCTAAACAATAAACAAATATATAAACTGTTATACGTCTTCTGCTTTTATTTTTTAATCAATGTTGTTTGTTAACAGGGGTTGGTAATTACTACAGGTGGGATTCAGGGGTAGACAGAAAGAACTACAAGGGACCTACAAGATTTCAAGATTTTCCAGTACCCCCAAAGCCCCCGAGGTGTTCAAGACCCCCCCCCCCCCCCCCCCCCCCCCCCCCCCCCCCCCCCCCCCCCCCCCCCCCCCCCCCCCCCCCCCCCCCCCCCCACCAAGAAAAAAATATCTTTTGCAACTTTTTATTCTGAGATGACAAGACGACATCTTGGAGAGAAAAAAAAAAAAGCCGCACTAACACCCACACATTTGTTCTTTGCGTCACGAAAAAAAAAATATTATTTTGAGATGAGAAGACCGACATCTTGGAGAGAGAAAAAATTTTTTTTTTAATATTTGGGGAAATTCTGACAACTGTAAAAAAAAATAAAACATTTTCACCATCTTGGGGAAAAAAATATTCTCAAGATAAAAAAATTGCAACAAGATTTTATTTTTGGAGGATACGCCTCTGACAGCTAGAAAAATTAGCCATCTTGAAAAAAAAATATGACGTATATTTTTTACCCTTTGAACTTCCTGATTAACACCTCTGCTAGGGTGGTGTACTGGTGGGAGACTGGTAGAGACTGGTGGAGGGTGGTGGAATAATAAGTAAAAATGGGTACATGTATAACTACTTATGACAAGCTGTATGTTGTGAGGGCTCTTTGGGAGCGAGTGAACAGTGCCGAGGAACAGACAGATCATTACGGTCTGAGGAGAATGGCACTGCGAGGAGTTACAAGGGGATCTGGCCGACGCTCGACACTCGGGGGAGGGGCGAGACTGATATACAATCAGACTGTTACTGGTACTATCGGAATTTTTACTCTTCGCTTGCTGCTGAAGACGGGGAAGGAGCGCTTATGGGAGTGTCCCGAGTACTGTGATGTCGATTCCTAATTCAACATTCTTTCACCTTATCTTTTTTCACATTCTCCACCATCTCCACTTCCTCTCGTGAGCTTGAGGGTGTCTGTCGTACTTTCTTTAGCTGCTTCATTGCGGCTCTCTTTGATTTCCACGCATGTTCTACTTCTGGAGTCCACCATGGGGGTTGTAGAAAATTAGTTTTGGCAGTTCTGTAGCATGCTCCCTGTCTGAGGCGTCTGCGTAGGTTGTTGGTCCACTTATACCGGAAGGTCTTGCGTGCTTTCCCAGCCGGAACCTTACTGGGTTTAGCAATCAGGACTTAACATGGTAGGTGATCACTCCCATGGTCATTCAGGACAGTCCATTTAACATCTAAAACCGACAACTGGGAGACAAATGCCGAGTCAATGGCTGTGTCTGCATCGCCAGACCTCATTGCCTCCCATCATTGATGCAGACCATATCGGAGTCATCCATGGCCTCTGCAACAGCAGTTCCCTGTCGGTTTTTTTTCCGCTGCTGTCTCACTGTTCCTCGCGTTGAAATCGCCACATATAAGTAGCCTATCACCTGGTAACTCTTCCACTTCTTTGAGCCAGCCCCATTGTTCACTTCTGACAAAACTATCGTGGCATATATATTTATGAGGTTCCAACTTGAGCCACCAATCTGCACCTCTATCCATTGAACCTCTCATCCACTGTGGTTCCACCGGCTCAAGTCAAGCACCAGATGCTTCACTCCCTTCTTTAACACCAGACCTTGTCCATGTCTCTCCTGTCCAACAGGGTTTATATAGCTGACGTACCCAGGGCAATGATATATGTCTGTATTTAGCTCCTGGAGCATGATGACATCAAAATAAAAAATCAACCTCTCCAGTACAGGACCTCTCTGCCTAGCAATCCGACAGTTCCAGTATCCTACTCTTACATGATTGAAGCTCAATCTCTCCGCACCTGTTCTCCTAGCACCTGCCCTCATATGTCTATGCCTTCTTCTCTCCCCGTTCCTTCGTCGTCTCCTCCTCACTCTCTTCACGAACTGCTAAAAAATGTGTCAAGCGCAGAGCACGTGCTCCATAGCTCCGGCAACGATTCCTATGTATATTTTTAAATCCATATGCGAAAAAATAGAGTACTGCAGGAAATGACCGGTCACCCTAGTATTGTCTGCCTGCTAGGGAAGGGGCAATGGATGTCCCGTAGGAGTCGATACGCCTGGTGCCGCCCCGCCAAACGTCCAACGTTTACGACCAGCTCACCCGTGGCCATCCAGTTCCTCAGCACGTTGGCCCACCTTGAACTTGGGGGTTTATATTCGGTGTTTGCCGTCTCCTAGATGGACTGCTATCCAAAGCTAATGGGTTCCACCTACCGGGGAAAAGGGGTTATAGCGCCTAGACCCGCCTGGCCGGCGCGTCTCCGAGCATGTGAGGGATTTTAAAAGGATTTTAGATCCCACCCTGAAATTCCGCCTTGCAGTCTGTGCTGACCGCCAGTTGGTCCGCGGCTGCTTATAGGGTATTCACAGCTGGCCTCTATATCTTGAGGCCGTTCCACAATCCGCCACCAGTGGACTTGCTGGGTTGGGGATGGTCGCCCCAGCTTTACCTAGCTTTATCCTGTTTTATATTAATAAAGTAATATGTTTTAGACTGATGACTGAAGAAAGCAGCAACCACACCCTCTCTCGCCCAAGAATCGCGAAAGGCGCGATTTGAAAAAAGCTGCAACTACAGAATATTGGGGGGGGGGGGTGTTTGGGGCTTCTGATTAATACATTAACGACGTTATTTATATTCTTTGCATTTAACACGGTCGGTGCTTTACAATATCATACATTTTTAAAATATACCCCTCCCCCCACCCCAAGTTATAAAACATGTCTTAAACGACTGAACAATTAACATTGCATTTATTTGGCACCCTGTTACTAGAACTACCTGGCAACACCGGAAGTCAGTTGAAGGAGGAAGCTGTTCTCTGACGACTAGTCTTGTAAACATCTATTTTGTTTATCTAAACCATACTTCAAGAATATCATGAAACAAACCCAACACTTACCAGGAGTTAATCCTAGAGCATTTCAATGCTGCTTTTGTTGTCACGTTAAAACTGGAACTTTGCTGTATGGTATCATCAATGTGGTGCGTTACCGTTAAGTAATTTGATTTAAAAAAAAAAAAAAATAATAAACGGGGACTGTCCTCCGAATATCGGTCCTAAATTATCGAGGCGGAAAATATACCCTTACAGGGCCTCAATCAGGTGTCAATTGCGCACTTCCGTCGTCTTAAATTGCGCGCTTCCGCCACCGCCGAGTATATCCCCCACGCTGGTCTAAACTAGATGACTGAGACTCACGAGCAGCTACCGCATCTTCTGCAGCTTCTTTCATTTTATTTGCTTGTGAGACCTAGCCATCTAGTTTAGCCCGTGGCATGGGGGATACTCTTGGCGGTGGCGGAAGTTCGCAATTCGGCAGTGGCTATATAGTCCCCGGAAGTCCACAATTGACACGTGACTGAGGCCCTGTTAGGGTATATTTTCCACCTCGATAATTTAGGATCATTATTCGGAGCATAGCCTAAACAGGAATCCTCCGAATAACGGTCCCAGGTTATCGAGGCCGAAAATATACCCTAATAGGGCCTCAGTCATATGTAAATTGCAGACCTCTTTCCAGCGACTATACCGCCAACGCCCAGAGTATCTCCCGTGGGGTGGGGGGGGAGAAGGGCTAAGCTAAACTAGATGGCTGGGACTCACAAGCAAATAAAATAGGGAAAGCTGCAGGAGATGCGGTAGTTGCTGCTTGTGAGTCCCAGTCATCTAGTTTAGTGCCCCCTCCCTCCGCGCGGGGTGAACTTGGCTGTGACTTTAACTTGGCGGAAGCTTTTGTGCAGTGTAGTCGAGGGAAAGAGGTCCACAGTTAGGGTATATTTCTGATATTGATAATTTTGGATCGTTATTCTGAGGATTAACGATCCAAAATTATCAAGATCAGATCGTTATTCTGAGGATTACGAAGACAGCAGGTGAAATTGTTTACCCACTTAGAGAGAATGCCATACAAAGCATACACGGAAAGAGAAGGACGTAGAGCACGAGGTAGACCAAGAACAATATGGAAGGATAACATCAGAGAAACTCTACAACAGCACGATGTGCCTATTGTCGAGGAGGCCAGAAGAGCTAGAGACAGAACCTTATATCTCCCTCGACACCCACAGCGGTAGAAGAGGAAGAGAAGAAGAAGAAGATTCTGAGGGTAGCTAAAAATTCAGTGTATTATATATACTATTCTCAGCTAATAATTCAAAGACAATAGTAATACTCAAACTGTTTCAAACTACTATTGTCAGCAGTTTTGCGTATCATATGTCAGCGTTACGAACTCGCCTCATAACAATTTCGAGGTGCAGCGTTTGAAATTTATGCAAGCTGCTGGCGATAAGACAGCAAACCGCCTTTTCTTGGTTTCAAAACTAGTGGCATACTTCAAATTTATTATACAGTTGGATTGCCTAAGTAAAATTACCCAAAAACTCAAAATGCTTTGGTTGGTTCTGCAACATGATTCAACATCTGAACATCCTTACCTGTAAAGGATACACAGCAGGGCTAAACTAGATGGCTGGGACACAAATAAAATAAAAGTAGCTGCAGGAGATGCGGTAGCTGCTGCTCGTGAGTCCCAGAGTAGCGGCGCAGAGATATTCTCGGCAGTGGTGGTAGTCGCCGGAAGACCACAATTTACATGTGACTGAGGCCCTGTTAGGGTATATTTTCGGCCTCAATAATTTGGGGCCATTATTCTGAGGATTTGTATACTGTTACAATCATCATGAGTTTTATTTACTACTATATTCAGTGTATAATAATAACATTAGTTACATTTTATAATGGTTATTTTGATTTTGCCCTCAGCTGAACTTTCAAACATGTATATCAAACAGTTTTAAATGGAAATATTTCAATTCATATTTTTAGTGTCAGTCACTCTGTCAATCAGTCAGTTGCCCTCTCCACAATGAAGCAGTTGTAGCAATGGATCTCCAAAACTGTTTTTTGTTGATGCTATGATTGTACTCTCTTTCATGTTTTGGTATTATAATCTTTCCAATTTCAATACTACATATATTTTTTTTTTACCTTGCTGCCCTTCACTATTTCCTTCAGTATGGTTTTTATTAGAGTTTAACATATTCTGAAAAGTCCTCCTAATGTTTCATTTGTCTCTGGGTTTTTAAAAAAAAATTTTCAACATCTATCTGATTATTTTGAGTCTCATTACAACCTCTGAATTTGATTTTTTACATGAAATATGGCTACAAAATGGAGAAAAGAATATAGTATTAGAAGTAACCTTCTCAGCCCGGGAAAGCAGTTTTTCTGGCTTCTGTGATTTTTGGTGACACAATGTTTTTGAACAGTGACTATTGTCACATATCACTCCTGTCAAAGCCTGATTTAAGGATTTCTCCTTAAGAACCAACAGCACTCTGAAATAATTATGTTGAGTCGTTGGCTCGTATTGGTCTAAGGGATGCCCCGTGGCCAATATATGCTCAACTTATTTCAGGAGTAGGGCAACTCAAGTTTTGGCACTACAAAATATATAATATTCCTAGGCACACTTGGCTGGACACCCCCACTACTATAAAAAGATAGCCCCCAGGTTATGATAGTATGCTACCATAACCATGTTAACACAGATAACACTTATTACTCACACCAACATAAAAGCTAGACAGTTAGAATGGTGAAATAGGGACACCCAAGTCAGCCATGAAAATTTATGCATGTAATCAGTACAATATATACATATAATAATGAATCGATAAACAAGAATTCAGTGAATGGAGCTCAGGAAACAATGACACAACCCAGATATTGAAGCAGCCAGATTCAGTTCTATGAGAGTACATGAGTTCATCCTAGGAATCTCAAGGTTCTGTGGGAAGAGAGCATGATAATGAATAAGTGATCACTTAGCCCAGTTCGTAGGTCAGTGCTCCCCTCAGTACATGGTGATTCGACTGTAGTTGACTCAGGTATCTATGCCTTGATTTGATCTGGTACAAGTTGACTATCTCACAATCGAGGACACAGGAACTGTACAGGAACCCAACAAGTCTCTCTCACAGGTCAGGACACAAAAACTGCATCAGAGCCCAACAAAGCTCTTGAACACTGGTTCTCTGGATTGATGACACAGATGTCTGCAATTGTCCACTTGTCCTGGAACTCACTAACAAGCTCTTGCCATGTTGAGGTAGTGGCACAATGGGCAGGACTTTTGGGTATGCTTGGTGCCCAGAATGGTATGGGTTGGTGGTTTTTGGCTGGACTGTGATTCGTCTGCCTGATCTCTAAGGAGGTATCATCCTGTCAGGAAAGAACTCAGAATTAGTAATCAAATTTAATCACACATCAGCTGACCCCACCTCTGCTGTCCTTCTCCATTCCTCAGAGTGTAACTCTCAAGAACAGGAGACAATGTCTCCTTAGATTTATCTGTCTGTAAACTAGTGCAAGAGATAGAAAACAAGGTATATAGTGGATAAAGATAGGAACTACCACACATAGATCATCCTCTCTCCACCCTCACATCTGCACATCCCTCACATCACAGACATACAATGTTAACAGTTGGTACTTATATATATTCCACGTCTCCACAGGCTGCTCACTACACACCCACTGAATCTGTGTCAAACACACTTTCGACTCAAAGCGTCTAACACTGACGTCACGGAGTTACTTTAAAAGATGACCCAGATACAAATTTTTCTGCTAGGCGGCACAAAACTACGCTTGTCTAGTCAGAGAATAATTACTTGTAGGGTTTAATATCTTTACAAATGGTGTGGGTTCTGTAGAGCACAAACTACTTAGAGTGCACAGGGAAAGGTTTAATGTTCGGAGCCTGATCTCTGGACATCAAGAACGGCCCCAATCTGTGTGATCACACAGCTGACTCTCCCCTCTCTGCAGCAGTGACCAACTTTAAAAAGACATAATTTATGGTACTTGTAAACTATAATCAACTTACCCAAGCTTAGGAAATCTTCCAAGATAGAAATGGAACTTTGAATGCGCCAATTTCTACATAGACTGTATACACGTCTAGACACTTTGGGATCAGGCGAAAGAATGTTTTTTCAAAACCAAACTAGCGTCTCTAGGAAAGAAGTCACCTGTATTCCTGCCCAAGGAGTTAACCGGTTTACAGGAATTTCTAAATAAATTACCAGAAATTATCAACCTACAGTTGCAAGTTTGAAAATGAAGATTTATCAAAGCAACTAGAGGGTCTAGAAATAATATATTACCAGATAAAGGTATATCTTAATATAAGGGACTATATACCCTTTCGGACGGGTTTAAGTTTGAAATTTGACTGAGCGCAAGGGAAGTCACAGTCCATTGTGTAGGGTTGGCTGCTCACCTCACGACAACTATTACCACTTGTATGATGTACTTTGGTACTGGCTGCAACTGTATAGTGTGTAGACATGTGGGTAAGATTAAATCACTCAATATTGTTTTTTAAAGATAATATTGAGATGGAGGAGGGACTAGATTTAAAAGAAATTATGATGTCAGCTTGACATTATTTAATTTCATTAATTGTCACATTGCTATGTGTGATGAAGTGACCAAAACCACTTCTGGTCAGAGGAAAGCAAATCAGTTACTTTGCTCTGTTTGCATTTAGTGATCTTTTCCCTTCATCATCATCATCAGTTCTCGTTAAGCCTAGTGGCACATGAGGCTTCAGAGAGGACTTTCCATGCTTTCCTGTCCTGTGCAATCTTCAGTGCAGTTTTCCATGTCAAAGTTGCGCACTCAGGTCACTTTCCATCGTTCGTCTCCATGTTGTTTTTGGGCGCCCCTGTTTTCTCTTTCCCTCTGGTGTCCATGTGAGAGCTGTTTTGGCAGGTATATCAGAAGTCATTCTCATAACGTGGCCAAGCCATTTCCATCTTCTCTTGGTAATCATCCTGTCTAAAGTTTCTTGGTTTGTGGCTTGAAGTAGTTTAATGTTTGAGATTGTATCTAGCCAGAAAATTTTGATAATTCTACGTAGACATGTGTGGTGGAAGGTGGACAGCTTGTGTGCATCTTTTTTGGTCATTCTCCAGCATTCCGCTCCATAAAGAAGAACTGGCAAAATGATGCTCTTGTAGAGTTTCGTTCCTCTGCAGTAATTGTTGGATTTCCAGATTTGCCTCATCCTTCCAAAAGCAGCTCTAGCTTTGTTCAGACGTGACTATGTTTTCCTCTGTCCCTCCCAGTAGGGACACCACACTGCTAAGATATGTGAAATGTTCTACATTTTCAAGTGATTGGTTACTTATGGTCACTGGTTGTTGGTTTGGACTGTTTGTCATGATCTTAGTTTTCTTTGTATTTATTCTCAGTCCCACCATTTCTGCTGTGCAGTTTAGTCTGTTACTTTTCTCTTGTATATGTTCATGTTTGTGTGATAGGAGGGCTATATCATCTGCAAAATCAAGGTCCTCAAGCATATGCCTCTTAATGTCCTGTCTACTGTGTTCTTTAGTATCCAATCAATCACAAGGTTGAAGAGGAGAGATGACATAACACATCCCTGTCTTACACCCGTCTTTACTGGGAAAGATGTATTGTAATTTTTAATTTTTTTTTATACTGTAGGAAAAATCTTTTCCCTTCACGCAGAAATAAAACATTTCCTTGATTTCTACATGTAGTGACTGGAAAAAAATAGTTAATTTTTATGACGTGACATCCTCAAAGAAGCAGGGGACTTCACTCCTCCCCATCTGCTATGTGGTGTAGGGATTCGACCCCTGAATATTTATAAAAAGTAACCAAGACCAAATTTCTTCTCTTCTAGTTTATCAGAGTGAATTTTAGGAGAATTATAATTTTTTTTTTTTTTTCGATTTGCAAAAAAGAAGGTAATTTTTTTTAAAAGACTTTTACAGGGCGAAAGGGTTCATAACAGAAAACTTGTCCTTAGAATAATCTAAGCCAGATGTGAAAAACAACATGACAGTAAAGATTTTTTAAAAAAAACTGACAGTGTTGATAGTTACTATTCCCAGTGCGGGTTCCGGGGCCCTGTTATAGGGAAAACAAGAATAAACCCACTGCCTACCCAAAAGCATGTTGTAAGAGTCGACTAATTGGAAGCTTCCTTCAGAGTCGGAGTGCATTTGCCTGAGAGGCAAGGAAGCAGCAGTGTTCTTACAATTGAGTCAGATCTGTAAAACTGATTCACACACAACGCTCAGGTTCTGGAGCAGGACTGCAATCCAGAAGTGGATGAACAACCAGAACTTTTCGCCAGAGTTTACAGCTGGTGAACGCGAAGAAGAAGAAGATAGTTACTATCATCAGATGATTTGCTGATAAATGTAGGCAGTCATGGTTTGCCATCTCACATGATCACCAGAATTATGGAGCAGGTCCATATTCTTCCCTGCACAGCCATTTAAGTATATAGACAGCTATGTATCACACCAATTTAAACAATAAAAGTAAGACAAGCAAGAGACTTTAAATACCTAGGGTCAGATTTCACTTTACTGGAAAGAATGTATTGAGAAATAACATGATATGCGAAGACAGTTTAGCTGCCAGGACAACTAACACCATTTCTGACAAAGCAAATTTGATAACTTGTGTGTGCGTGTGAATCAGAAATTATGGTACCAGTGACACGCAAGGTTATAGTTCATGGATTTTTAAATTACATGAAAGATGTATCTTAGAAGAGCTGCCAGACAAAAAGATAAAATTAAAAAAAAAAAAGAGTAATTAGTAGGGCTGTACTGAATATTCGCTTCGTATTAGCTTCGGGCCCGAATAGTCGACCTAATAACTATTCGGTATCCGGCCGAATAGTTGCGGTCGGGTCGAATATGAATAGTGGTTACCTTACACCCGTTTCTGGACTGGTGGAAAATGAACATATCAAGATTTCCCACCTTGGTTCATACTGCCTTAATGCTGACAACATGGAACAATTTTTTTATTTTTTTTTTCGAAAATCTAATGCCGCTTTCATGGATTAACGAAGCTGTCAGTGACAATTTACAGGTTTAGTTACTTGTTATAAAACCAAGAATAGTTTCATTCCTAGGTATTAGTTACCACAGACTGACTGACTGAAGGATGCAAAACATGAAATTGTTTCAAATGTTTACTATTCTGTACTGCATTTTGTGAAGTAAAATTTCAGCGTACGTTTGACATGGATGTTTTTTTTGTTTTTTTTCAAGATCTATTTTATACACTACTCGAAAGTGGAAGAATGGGCCTCAGTTTGAAAAGTGGGAAGACAGAAGTAATGGTGGTATTAAAGAAAATAATTATTCCTAAATGTGTAATAAAAGTAAATTGTTTTATTTTGGGACAAGTACAGAAATTTAAGTATCTGAGTACATGGATAACATCAGATGTAAGATGCATTACTGAAATAAGAAACAGAATAGGAATAGAAAAAAATGCATTTTATAAAATGAAGAACATCTTATGCAATATATCTTTGTCACTGAAGGTTAGAAAAAGAATTCTTGCTTGCTACATACATCCAGTTTTAACATATGGCTGTGAATCCTGGACAATCGGTAGGCAGGCCAAACAATTTCTTGATTCCTCAGAGATGTGGTTTTACAGAAGAAAGATTAGATTTCCTTGGACAGCCAAAAAGAGCAAAAAGGAGGTATTGAAAGAGGCGTGAGCCCGAAGACAACTTATCACAGACATCAGAAGGGGACCGTCATCATTTTTCGGCCATGTTATAAGATGAGGGAAAATGGAACATGTGGTGACCACTGGAAAGATCTGTGGAAAAGGGGATAGAGAAAGACAACAACAGAAGATTCTTGACAGTCTTGTTGCATGGCATGGAGGTGTGTCAGCACATGAACTAATACATGCTGCTGCAGGAGATCGCAGATTGTGGCGAGGCATAATCGCCCATGCCAGTCGGCAAGGCACCTGATGATGATGATGCACTATTCGTATTCGGCCAAATAGTTGGTCCAGCTATTCGTATTCGGCCGAATAGTTAAAATCACTATTCGGTACAGCCCTAGTAATTAGATAAGAGACTGAGATAAGTCATAAATTTAATTAAAGAACAATGAAAAAAATTATGTCACACTTGGCAAGAATGCCCTGGTATTAAATACAACATAGAGAAAAATGGAAAAAATATAATGATAACAGAGCACTTGAAATGTCCCCCCCCCCCCCCAAAAAAAAACCCAGGATAACCTTAGAAAAATTAAGACCACCTTGCACCACACATTAAGAACACACAGTCGATCATGGCATCTCTCCCTAACACTCTACTGAATCAGTTAGAGGAAGAGAAAAGGAAATACATCGTCTTTGACGAGTGTGATCAATTAGATTATAAAGAAAAATGACAGACTGCAAGATGGCTTATAAATAAACCTAGCGAATTTTAGAGCCGATGTGACTTAATTTTGTTTGCAAGAAATAACATACATATTTTTAAACAAACCTTTGTAATAATTGATACTGTAGCAGCAAAGCAAACTGAATATGCTATCTTTTTATTGGTTTGTCATTTGGACCTAATCAGTTAATTAGTATTCATTAAATCCCCTTTTTTAAAATTGTTCACTGAAAATTGTCTAATGCGCCTGGCAAGATAAACATTTTATTATACAGGATGGAAAAATGAAACATTCCTGTGCTGTAGAGATTCCTATTTTTAATGTTTATTTATGTTGCCTGATATTGTAAGACAGTTTTTTTGTTGTTGCCTAATCTGAGGTCTACAAACTTAAACATCATAATCCAGTGATTACTCTGTGTAATTCTCCAACCCCACTCTATGCCTGCACACACACAACATGCATATGCACACATTGCATTTTAAAAGCATTGTTCATTTTTGTTATCCAAGTGGAGCATAAGGGCTCAACTCAGCCGATCTGTAAACTTAGCTTTCATATGCTCCACATATTTTCAACTAATACTTTTCTTTATGTTTTATTAGGTCGCTGCATCTTTTTGTTCCCCATGGGCTCCAGAGAAATGCATTTCCTGTTATATATAGAATATTAAAAAATGTGTTTCAGTTTGGAGACCTTCTGCTCCTGGGCTTGCTGATCTTTGTTGCGATCCACCCTGATGTCCTGGCACCACAGACCCAGCAGAAGTATGATGGGATTGTGCTTGTGCAGACAGAAAACGGAAGCTTTTTTCAGAGCTTTGGCTATGAGCTCTACAAGCAACACATTAGTAAAGGTACTAACTTGGACTCTGCACCACTTATTCATGTTAAGAATGACATTCTATATACCAGGGCGAAGTTTTCTTAGGGGCCAAAATGTTGAAAGTGAGGATTGTCTTGGGCCAGAGAACTGAGCCACAGTATAGAAAGATCATTAATACACTACAGCTGACTATCATCCCTGGGCCACCAGCTAGGCCTTTGCTGGCCATATTTGGGCTGCCAGTTGAGTAGTCCTGCTGTATACCAAACCTTAATGTTTTTACTTAACCTCTGTCATTTCCAATGGCAAAGTGTATCACAGGACATAATGTTTTTCACAGGACATAAAAGTTTGTCACAGGACGTGAAATATATACATGTGACAAATTATAAAATAGGACTAGGAAGCTCAACAGTATCTAACAGTATATATGATGAAGAAATTGACATCCGATGCAGTAAAGCAGGTCAAGTATTGGGACAGCCAGCCCCACCCCCATATACAGCATAAGGCAGTCCCAGTCAGCACAAAGAAACATCTCATACAAAATATATTAATTCCCATCCTATGCTGTAAGTGCCAGATGTGATCACTCACAACAAACCAGAAAAGAAAATTAGTAATCATGGAAGTGAGGTCTCTGAAAATACTGCAGGAATTACCAGAAAAGGTGAAATCAGGAATAAGATCATAGAGATAATGTTGGCACAGAACCAGTTGTAAATTTAATACAAAAACAGCAAATCAAATGGTTTGCCTACTTGGAAAGAATGCCTTCTGATGCTAAAGGCATATACCAAAAGGAGAGGGACAAAGAGCAAGAGGTAGATCAGGAACAAAATAGGAAGATAACATCAGACAAACTGTATAGCACCATGATGTGTCTAATGTCGAAGCAGCCAGAAGAGCACAAAGCAGGACTTTATATCTCCCTCAACAATTTAAGCGGTAAACAAGGATGTAAAAAAGAAGAAAAAATCTTCTAAGAAAAAGTGGCACATTTTGACAGCATGCAAATTATTGATTTAGGAAGTTGTGAATGCTATCATGAAAGAATCAGAATACTATTCTATTATTCTTAACCCACTGACTACAAGCCCTTTAACCCTTGCACTTTTCCAGATACCACACATTTGACTGTCTACTAAAAATGCCATAGCTTCACAACTATTTATCATACACGTATAATATTTTGTATTTTTGCTCCAAGTTGATTGGAGAACACATTTCAAGAAAATATATTATTTTGTGATACATCATCATTGAATGATGAACTAAGAACCGACATCACAGCACTCGGGTCACTCCTATAAGTGCTCAGTCCCCGTCTTCAGCAGCAAGTAAAGATTTCCAATTCTGATGGTACCAGTAACCGTCTGATTGTATATCCGTCTCACCCTTCCTCTGAGTGTCGGCCAGATCCCCTATTACATCACCATTGTATGGCTGTAGAGTGGTGCAAAAAAAAAGGCAACTGAAAAATCCTTTACCTGATAACAATATAGACTAAAAAAATGCTATAATTTCCGAACCATTCAACATACACATATCATATTTTTGCACCAAATTAAATGGAGAACCAATTACAAGAAACAAAAATGGAGAAAGGAATGACATCTAAGAGAAAGCCTGCAGTCAATGAACAATGAACAAACCAAAAGGATTGCATGGGATAGAATGAAATTAGAAGTCTTTTGTGGCATATGAACAGCACAAGATGATGATGATGATGCTGGGCAGTGCTGATGATCGTGTTCCGTCACAGACAGCTGAGCTCAGTAGATCAACTACTTATTTACTGCTTAAGTTTCCTGGTGCCCATATAAGGGTGGGTGACATTGGGCCTTAGCTTACTTTATGATAAATTACAGGAATACTAATTTATGACCAGTAGTTCACATATTTTGTCATTGTGACACGTTCTTAAAATAGCAAGTTCACGCACACACGGATATATATGTGTTTGTATGTATGTATGTATGTATGTATATGTATAGCAGTTAGAGAAATATTATTCATTTAATTTATTTGTATTCTGTTTTTAAGAATTCCTCTTTTTTGTTCTGGTACTAGACAACCTGACTCTGATGGTCGGTGTTACACTGGTATGCTTTGTCTCAGCACTAGCTCTTGCATATGGAGTTGTACGGGTGAGTTGTTGTTTTCATCCATTTACAGTTCATTGACTTGTCACATTTGTTTATTGACAGGTTCTGTTTACAGTTATCAAATATTATGTAGCATTAAAAATGTATAACATCTTGATAGTCAACAATAAAGGTAGTCGTTAATGCAGCTACTGCAGTTAGGGGGCTGAAGTATTGGGCCTTTACTTTCTAGGCTATGACATGTGTGGAGGTGGGTGGCCAGTTCCATTCCTGGTCACTTTTCCTTGCCAGAAAATTAGGACATTTATCTGGAGACACTTGTCATGCCACTTGAAGGAATTAAATCTGATCGACTGTCTCTGCAGACAAGTACAGTCAGAGATAGAGACTGATCAGAGGAATCAGACAGTTTAATATCCAACATGTGTTAAATAGTTTACATTAGTTATATGAAGTGAGTAATCTTTCTCATTATCAGATGAGCCAGTCCAGTCAAATCTCTTCAGTCCTCTTTATTCCCCACAAATTTTTCGGTACAATATAAACCAAAGCATTACGGTTCTGACATGCCTGTTTGATGTAATATCTTAGAAATCCTTTTCTTTTATTTTGTTTTTCAGTATTTTTATTACTAGACTGCTTTATCCCCGATTGTCCTATATTTTAAGGTGATGTTTAGATGATTTAGTTATGTGACATGATTTAATAACATTAAATGGCAGTATTGTGAAGATTTTAGTTATTGACATATTTTGCTTGTTTGGCTTTGAAATGCGATTAACTCACTTTTCATGATGATTTCTTTCTTATTTTACAGTCTGACTTCCACCTCTTTGTTTTACTTTCGTAAGAACAAGAAAAGCTCTTGGGTTTTCTGTTTTTGTTATATTCATAGCTTTTCCCATTTGATCAGTCCTTTGCAATGAAGACCATTTGCACTACTTTAATTTATCTGAGTGTTAAAACTCATTTTATATATATTTAAGTATGTTATAAATATGTAGCTTAAATACTCGTGATGAGCAAAATGGAAAAGAGCTTAACATTTTTTTCTCTCAGTTTTTGGTTACACTGTAATTGCCAGTCTACTTACCAAATAACATCTCTATGTAAAATATATGAAACATAGAGTGTATTATTGCACTTAAATGAAAAACTAATATTTCAGATGTTTTTCCCCAAAAATCATGCATTATTATGTTTTCAGAATGTGGCTAGTTACCTGATGCCATTCTTCTGCATGCAAGTTTTTGACTTTTGTCTGAGTTGCCTTGTGGCAGTGGGCTGCTTTACGTATGCCCCAAATATTAAACACTGGATTCATGATCAGGGATTGGTGAGCAAATAACTTATTATGTGTAATTGCAGCATTTTGCAAGAAAAAAATGTTTTGATTAAGGTTTAAAATGTCTGCTTGTGTTGCCATGTGATACTTATTATCATCAAGTGTAGGTATTTATCTCAGGACATTTTGTCTGCAAGCATTTTGTTTTGTGTTTAACTGTCTTCAGTCTGTAAATCTGACCATTTGGTTTGCTGTGAGAGATCCGCCTTATGGCAAGAAGAAAGTCCTGGATGATACACACACACTCCTCAGAGTGGCTGGAGAGTGGTTGATTTCAAATCTGAGCTGTCCTGTTTTGGGGTGGGGGTAAGGAGACTCACTGCCCTCTCCCCCTCAAACAGGCATGTCATAAAAGGTGACTGATTAGAGATTGTTGCTGAATTTGATATGGTGGGTCAAAACACGTGGGTATTGCACCTTATCTGTAAACTACAGCACCATATGCCAACTGCTCGTTTGTGGGCCAGTGCAATTTAGAAGTAATTTGTAGCTCATCCTCTGTGTCTGATTTCTATGTAAAACTATATAGTTGTTCTGTTTAACTGTATCATTCATCACGTCCTGTAACCCTCCATGTCATGGGTCAACAGTTGCTGTCATATGTCTGATCAGCTCTCTCCACCTTTGACGGTCAGATGCAGTGGACATCATGGTTGTATGCCTAAGGCTTATCTAGTCAGTCAAATTCTCTATCCAGGTCTTTCTTCTTCTCCTTTTCCCCTTTACTGAGCTCTGTGGTATTGTTTTTGAAAGGCTGATAGATCTTTTTTACACATCCAAAACATTTGATTTTTTTTTTCACTGCATTTAAAAGAGGTTCATAGTTGCCAGTTGTATCATTCATCATCATCGTCATCATCAGGTGCCTTGCCGACTGGCGTGGGCGATCATGCCTCTCCACAATCTGCTATCTCTTGCAGCATGTATCATTTCATGTGCTGACCCACCTCCTTGCCATGCAACAAGACTGTCAAGAAACTTCTCTTGTTGTCTTCCTCTATCCCTCCTTCTACCGATCTTTCCAGTGGTCACCAGATGTTCCATTTTCCCTCTTCTCATAACATGGCCGAAAAATGATGTCTCCTTCCGATGTCTGTGATTAGTTGTCTCTGGGTTCTCGCCTCTTTCAAAACCTCTTGGTTGCTCTTTTTTGGCTCTCCAAGGTATTTTAAGCATTCTTCTGTAAAACCACATCTCTGAGGCCTTAAGAAGTTTGGACTGCCTACCGATTGTCCAGGACTCGCAGCCATATGTTAAAACTGGATGTATATAGCAAGCAAGAATTCTTTTTCTAACCTTCAGTGACAAAGATATATTGCATAAGATGTTCTTCATTTTATAAAATGCAGTTTTGCCTGTCCTATTCTGTTTCCTATCTCAGTAGTTGTATTATTAGAAACTGTAAAACAGCCATGATGTTTTGGCTTACACATTTATTTATGGAAGGGAAGGTTATCGTTAAGCTTTACGTGTCACATGGGACCTGCAGTTGTTCCTCCATTACTTTCTATTCTGACTAGCCAGGCATTTCTGGCCTCTCTCATCAACATTCATTGATTGGTTTCTCTTGAATGTCCTTGCTTCCTCAGGTTCACACGTCGCCCAAATTCCATTCAGTGTGTTTTTTAAATATTTATTCTCTTTGTTTCAGAATGTGGCCAGACTATTGCAGTCTTCTTTCCATATACTTTTTTGTTGTAATTATCATAGCTGTCCAGACATTTGTTTGATTTCTTTGCTGTTTAATGTCTATCAGTTAAAAGATATCTCCCTTCTAAGCCACGTAGGAAAAATGTTTGCCAAAATTCTGGAACAACAAATTAGATCCGTTGTAGAACCGATCCTGAGCCCATCACAGGTCGGATTTAGGAAAGGAAGAGGGTGTACTGACGCTATTTTTGCTTTAAGACATGTTAGCGAAAAGACAATAGAACACAGACATCAAATGAACATCGCTTTCATAGATCAAGAAAAAGCTTTCGATAGAGTAAACAGAAATTTATTATGGAAAGTTCTTGAAAACTACGGTATAAATGGAACAATTTTAGATTGTGTTAGGGCTATTTATAGACAAAGTGAAAGCGCCATTAGAACAAGAGCTGGCATCACAGACTGGTTCCCAGTAACATCAGGAGTAAGACAAGGTTGTGTATTATCACCTTTACTTTTCATAATATTTATGGACAATATTAATAAAATAGACATAACACCAACAGATGTCGATAAACAGGAGGACTTCAATGAGCTGCTCTTTGCCGACGATCAATGCATATTTCACAGTGATAGTAAACAGCTGCAAGACCACATAAACCTACTACACGACAGTTGCCTCAAGCATCATATGAAGATCAATACTGAAAAGACAGAAGTCATGAGCATAAGTAGAGAGCAACAGACCATCGACATAAAGATTCTAGATCACAGCCTAAAACAAGTGCAAGAATTTAAATACCTGGGAAGTATCTTTACATCCAATGGTAAAATAGACAGAGAGATCGAAGCACGAATCCAACAAGCCAACAATGTCGCATACCAGCTTGCCCCAATTTTAAAACACCCTGCTGTCCCAGCTGAGATAAAAAGACAAATTATAAATACAATCTTTATACCGACATTAGGTTATCAATGTTAGACTTGGACATTAACAAAAGAACACGAGAGAAGACTAACCACCTGTGAAATGAGATGTTTGAGAATGGCTGCGAATAAAACCAGAAGAGATCGAGTGAGAAACGATGTGATTACAAGAACTATTGGAACCATACCCATCGTTAAATTTATTGAGAAGCAAAGAATGAAATGGTTTGGTCACCTAATGAGAATGGAACCAACGATGCCAGCATCAAGAGCATACAACATGAAAATCAAAACAACAAGAGGCAGGGGAAGACCAAGAAGAAGATGGATTGAAGGAGTCACGGACAACTTGAGACTTCATAACATCACAGCATATGAAGCGACTGAGCGCGCCCTGGCTCGGTTGCCGATCATCTGATAGACTGCGACGCCTAGCGGCACAAGCAGATTTTGACAAAAGAAAGAAGTTAAAAGATGCCATCCAGTTCTTTCCTGACAATGTTATTGTGGTGTTGATATTTCTTATTTACAGGAGAGCTATCCAGGGATGGACCGCATATTGTCCTTGGACTCAGACTATTTATTGCTGCTGTGTGTTGCTGTTGTAGTCCTTGTCCTGTCATCAAAGGTAACTAACTGTGGCCAGTTATAGCAGGATTCTGTTTCACAGAATTCTAAATTAGTTTTATTTGACTTCTAACAACTGTATGATGTTACCTCACATAGTTGATAAATATGTATGCCATTTGTTAGTACACAGAACAAATACAATAACATCATAATAACAGGATTAACAGTAGCATAGAAGTAAGCAGGCTCAGCAGAATCATTACACCAAGCTTGGAAGAAAATTATTGCAAAAGGAACTGCAGATTGTTTGAATGGAAATCATCACTAGAGATTTTGCCGGGAAAAATTGGTGATGAAGAATGCAGCTGATCACATCATCTCATTGTACAGCCTAGGATATTTGAGGACTTGCACTTCACACACTGAACAATAGTCACTACTGCATAGTCATTGTTTAGAGGCACAAGACAGATGTGCTTCTTTTTATTGACAATTGTTTATGAAATTAGCTCATGATTTAAGGTTTTTGAAGCTGTTTCTACTAACTCTGCCGGTGCTAGACAACAGTAAAATCAGTTTTAAAAAAAAAACTTATTGTAGTGTTTTGTGTTTGCTTTGTAATTGTGTAGTGTTTCCTTTCTGTAAAGATGAGTTTTCTTGGTGTCACCATAGTCCATATGACTTGTCAGCACAGATGAAACATCTTTGCTTTTGGAGGATAAAAAAGTGTTGAGCACAGGAGAAAGGGTTGGCATTGAGTTTGTTTAGCACAAATGTACACACCTATATGCCAGGGGAGCATAAAAAGGATTAAATACGAGAAAATCTACCTAAGTTTGGATTACTCATTAGTTCTAGGGAGTTGGCGCACTGCGTTTCCTTAAAGTCTGTGAGTTGAGACCAGCACTTCACATTCTAGGCCATGACATCTGTGGAGGTGGATTCCAATTCTAATCCTGGTCACCTTTCCTTGCCAGACAGTTGAAACAATTATCTGGTACCCATTTTTGTATGAGGCCGGTTGGAAACACTTGGAGAAAGTCGTGCCACTTCTGTGCCTGCAATGATTGTGATAATTTGTGAACCAGATCCTAATAAAATCAGTTTCTGTTGATCGGAACCTATTCATTTTAACATCACAGCCAATAGTGGCATGTTTACTTCTGAGTATGAGAACTTCAGCAACTACTGTCAGTAAACATAGTTTACAGAACTTCAGTACAACCTATTTAACAGTGTTTAATCATATTTGAATATATTTATTTATATTCATAACACAATTTCATAACAGACCTTGTTCATCTGAGTGTTAAACATTGTTTATATACAGGCTTATTTAATCTGCATGGTGTGGTCCTGCTACAAGTACATCCAGCTGTATGTGGCTGCTAGAAGTGTTAACAGGGACTACAGTGCCAATGCAGATGTGGAGGTATGTCTTGTTCTTCCTGAGTCATGCTGTTTATTTAAAGTCAAATAAAAATTCTGTAACTAAAAGAAGTAAATTATAAATGGCAGAAATATCACAGCAAGCACATGTATCTATTTAATGACAGCTAAAGCAGGATCTTTGCAGATGTTAAAGAAGTATAGTTAATATAAACATGGCACAGAAATCAAAGTCTTTAGGCACTACACTGAATCATACAAATGTCAGCCTGAATTCCTACCTTGCTGTATCAGTGGATGCCATCATTCTCAGAGCATGACTTCTGAGAATAATCTTAATGCACCCACTGAAGCTCTTGTTAAGCATATCATAAGAACACTTAATTCCTAAGTAGAGGATCACTGTTGCAGAGTTGCTACTAATTTAAGAAACTTATTAAAATGTATATTTACAGGGGATGTGGTATTTATGGGGGCACTCAAGTATACATAAGGAATTGAGATGGAAAGTTCAATATTAAATTCATCATCACAGTTGTCTACAAGATACAGTCATCATCATCATGTAGCAGGTCCTTTGCAGAACGTCGCTCTCATAACAGTCTGCCTGAAAGAAACTTGGGTCTCTCACCAGGTCTCCTGCCTCATGTACTTTCATACTCAAGGAGTCACTTATATTCAGTGCCCATCTTCGTGTCAGTCGGCCCCTGCCCCACCTTCCTGGTACCATGCCTTCTGCAATAGTTTTTTCCAATCCGTTGTGGCGCTTGATATGACCAAAATATTTCAGCTTCCGAGAAAGGATGCTGTTTATTAGCCAATTTTAAGATTTCAATATTTCTCCTCTTCTTTGTCCAAGATATTCTGAGAATCTTTCTAAAGCATTTCAGCTCAAAAGCCCCTATTCTCTTTCTTAAGGACTGAGAGGTAGTCCACGACTCACATCCGTATGTTGCCACAGGGAAGATGCATGCTCTCAGAATTCTAATTTTTATCTCCTTGCTGGTGCTTAACCATAGACTTTTAAGGCTGTTCAATCTTTAAATTGCTATGACCATCCTCCTTTTTATTTCTGTTGAACAGTCTCCATTGTTGTTTATTATAGAGCCTAGATATTCAAAGAATGTGACATTTTTAATTTCTTCATCATTTATTGTTATTTTTGGGTGACAGCCAGTTTTTTCTGTGGACATTTTTTTCGTTTTCTTTAAATTCAAGAACAGATTTTGATCTTCAAAGACAATATAAAATTTTTATTCCCTTTACGCTGTTCGAAAGGAGGACTGTGTCATCTGCATAGCGGAGTTCCGGAATAGGGTTGCCACCAATTTTGAGCAGATCATAACTGTGACAAGTCTGGTCATTTTTGACATTCTCATTATATGTTCTGAGTATATATTGAATAGGTATGGTGAGAGAATGCAGCCCTGCCTCACCCCCTTTTGCACCTCGAACCAGTCAGATGTTTCACCAGCTGCTCTGATGGCTGCTTGTTGTTCATGATAAAAGATTTTCAATTAAATGCACTAAATGCGCTGGTAACCACATACTTTTCATAATAGTCCACAGTTTGTGGTGCTGGACACAATCAAATGCCTTGCTATAATCAATAAAACAAGCATGAAGATCTTCCTTGTATTCTCTGCTTTTTCAAAAATTATTCTCATATTAAAGATACAAGATACAGTATCATATATAAACGAACATGCATTGGGGGGGGTTAAATGTATCCCCAAAAAGTCCAGTTTCATTGCAGTTAAAAACGTGCGGTCGGTAACCTTCAGAATTGATAACATTTGCAAGTTCCTTCACACAGGCATCTGCTGCTTTTTTGGGGGGGGAGGGTGGGGGGTGTCTTCCACACACGGGCGCACACATATACACCCACACAAATACACCATAAAAAGCAACTTATTCAGTTTGCTGAAACTGGATGTCTTTAGCCAAAAATTAGAGCTTAGTTTCAAACCACAACACATGTCACCTGCTATTTTTAGGGTGAACACAAGAAAAACAAAGTTTCATCACTTAAACCAAAATTGTCCTTGTAATGAAATACTTAAAACATGGCCTCACTGTACATTTGGTTTTTTGTGTGTAGATATTTCTGCCACCCTGCTATGAAGAAGCTATCAAAGTGCCAGGACACTACACAGAGCCACCTGCATACAGCAGAGAATAGACAAGTGCAGATTCAGATTTGGCACATTTTTACCCAGACTTGATTTTCAGTTCTGTTGGTTCATGTAGTTTTTGTGTGTGGCCAATTTAGCTATTGAAAATCTCTTGTTTCTTATGAAATCTTTTCATAGGTGTTAAATGTTGGCTGAAAAAAAAAAGTTCTCATTGTTTGCATATGTTCTATCCTGAATCTGCTTTTTTTTTATTGATTGTAACACAATTTTATAGTTTGGCCTGTAAATTATACTGGGAATTTTTTTTTTTGTGGGGGGGGGGGGGGGGGGGGGTTGTTTTTAGCGTCTTAGTATGCCAGAAGTTTGAGATTGTGCAGTTAATTTTAAAAAAAAATGTGAGGGCTACAGAACAATGGCTGTTGCACCAGGTAGTCAAGATTGCTAAGTTTGGTGAGGCTTGTTCCTCCAAAGGATTCCAGGCATTTACCAAATGTTTTGAGGTTAACACCTAGTTCCAAATCAATGGATGAAATTATTGAAATTATTAGACTTGGATTTTATTTATTACTTTCATTATTTCTAGGGAAATAAAGACAACTGCAGCAGGTTAAATGGGGGGGGGGGGGGGGGGGGGGGGGGGATCTTGGATATGTCCAAAATGAGGAAAACAGAAAAAAAATGTACTTTTCCTTCCTTGACTTCAAGCAGTCTTTCATATTACACTTTACATGTAATTAGATTTACTGGACAATATTTGTGGAGAAAACCCACAAATATAGCAAAGATCATGGGAAACATGCATTGACGCCACTCTCTAGTGTTAAATCTTGATGAAGTCTGTTGTTTACTGTGTTTTTATATCCAGGAGTACATTAGGATGTGACATGATTTGTATGATAATGTGTAACATTTTGTCTGGTTAAGAAGACAGTTATCTGATACAGTTAAGGCTCCTGCTTGTCAGTGAATTAAACAGGCATGATGAGAGCAACAATGAATGAGACTGATAAGTGCCAGTGAGTTCAGCATTTATTATGAGGCCAGTGGTTGATAAGACTCAGGTAAGTAGAAAAGTCAAAATCTCAGTTCAGGTAGCAAATTTGAAACTATCAATGACCAGAGAGATGAAATGCATAAGTGCACCAGACATATTATTATGAGTTTCTGATAATGATGACAGTGAATCTATACATTGTACATGTCAATAAAAATTGTCTCTGAAGTAACTACCATTGTCTTTTTTATGGAGCTGATTGTCTCGAATAATGATAAATTACAAAAGACATGTATGTGAATTTCTCCAATTATCAGCTTCAAATAATGGATCCCTCAATGCAGACAGTTCTTTTTTATGTCAGCTCTCCTGCATAGGAGGTTAAATTAAGCTGTAAAATATTCAACTTGTGTGTCTAGGTATTTAAGTTTACCAGAAATATAAAATTTAATTAAAATCCTGCTGGTGATTTCATTTGATTAAAATATCTTTGGCATTTTTATTTGCCAAAATCAAACAGTTTGGTATCCCAGCTGCTGAATGTGGGACTGCAATGCAGTGAAAATATCAACATTTGTTATTCAGTTTCTGAGTAGATTCAAGATAATATATCTGTTCTAGGACTTTTGAGGTCAAAGATAATAAACTATTTTAGTATACTGATTTTCTGTGTTGGTTTGATTTAGCTTCTTGTGTTTTCATTATGGTTGCATACAAAACCAGATAGCAGTTAGATTGCTAGAAGATTTGAAAGTCACATGAGATCAAGCAACCAGGTGCCTAACTCTTTACATTTCTTTCAGGCAACCCTTGTCTGAATAAAGGCAGATGCACGTTAAATGAGTTCAGATACACAGTAAATCTGTCAATACATAGAATAATGTGGCATCTCTGTTTTGGAACACTTGCACCTACACTTTGTAACTTGGAAGACTAAGGTTTGATGCATTGGTTCAGCAAATGTAGATGGGGAATATCTGTGAGCAATTAGACAAAGTAAAATCCCAAAATGTACTTAACAGAACTACATTTAATTTTTGTCTTCTCTTGTGTGAATGCCAATAATTCACATGATGTTTCTGTGATTTTAATGTTTGGAATCTTTGGTGATAACTATCGGAGTCAGCCTGTTGATTTTTATCACCTTCCTATTATTTCTTGTTTCATTTCACTGACTGGCTCCGGTGGAAAGTTCTGGTTGTTCGTCCACCTCTAGACTTAAGTCTAGTTCCAGAACCTGTGTGTTGCATGCACATCCCTTTTACATATCTGACTTATCTGAATGCAGATTGTTGGTTCCTTGCCTCTCAGGTAGATACACTTTGACTTTGAAGGAAACCCCCCACCCCCATTAGTCGACTCTTTACGACATATTTGTTGGGGAGGTAGCGGCTTTGTTATTGTTTTCCTCACAATGTGGCCCTGAAACCCACAGAGGACATTTCCTAATTTGAATGGACTTTAAGTCTTGGTTAGAGATATATTTCTGGTTAGTGTGATATAGTTAAGAGATGAGTTTTATTTTTCATTTGAGATAAAATTAAGTTATGAATATTTGTATGGGTTTTTGTGATGTTTTCTTTCTTTACCCCCAAAAAAATTATTTCATTTTTTTTAAATTTCTTCAATTTAAGCATGGTTATATGGTTTAAGTGAAGTTTTACTGCTTCTGAATTTTGTTATTTCCTTGACATTTTAATTATGGGTTAATTGTGCGGTGTAAGTGGGGTTTATTTTGATATAATATATTTGGTGTTTCTTCATAGCATTTAAGAGTTCTTTTATTTGCATGGTTTTTTCTACTGCTTACATGTGGTGTGTTTGCATGGTTTTTATTTAGTGCTTACATGTGATGTGTTTCTATGGTATTAGCACACATTAAGAAAATCATAAAATTGTATAATTAGGAAGTCCCTACACTAAACTGCAGGATAAAAGAAGAGGGAAAATTGTGATGCCATATGGCTACCTGTTTAAAAACACTGCACCTTTACCTTCCCGGAATATGGAAGAAAAAAAAGCAGCTGACTGTAAAAATATGAATTAAAAAAGGAACATTTTTAGAGGCAGTACAGGGACTGCTGACTATGCAATATGTGGCAGACATAATAGCTTCAATTTAGAACCAGCTTTCCGTTACCTTGAGACACTTTCAGGTATAAGCTCTGAAAGGATAGTTTCACAGACGGGTGGAAATGGTCATTGTCTGTAAGCATTGAAAAGGTTTATCAGAAATAATGCTTTCTGGCACCTTTTTTCCCTTAAACATTGTTTTTAAAAAAAAAGTAAAAATACTTTTCAGTCACTGCCATAAATTGTGGTCTGGCTCATCCTCTAATTAAAAAGAAAGTTGTTTTACACACCCACTTCTCCAAGAAAATCTGACCCAGCACACTCACGTGTTCAAGACAATCTGGCCTAACACACCCACTTGTTCAAGACAATCTGGCGTAACACATCTTTTCATTCAAGAAAAATCTGGTCTAACACTCCCTCTACCTGAAGAAAGTCTGGATTAAGACACTCACTCAAAAAAAAAATCTTATATCTATTTGCTCAAGAAAATATGTTATGTTAGTATCACCCCTGGGAACTACCGTAGCAATATGGCACGAATTACTAAGGTTCGAATTAGCACACAGGCAGATTTTTTGTAATAGACCTTTGCTTCTATGTCAACCCTGCCTAAATGGTCACCAGGAAATATCCCGCGAAGTAAAGACGACTGGGGTAGGTTTACCACATCATCCATCAAATACTGGTTACTCGGTAACAGGGGAGGACACTGCCGTACACTGACAATGTGTTAATGTATCGTTTTGGTCAAGATAAAGAGCCGGTTGTAGAACTCAATTGCATACGCAATTTGTGTGGTGAGGCTGGTGCTTTAGTCAGTCCACCGAAGGCAGCAGTGACGTTGTTCTCTTTGAATAACCATATTGTCAACACCAGCTGTAAGTTTATGCTCACAGAATGTGGAAACAACGCCGGCAATTAAATACGTAGGGATACCATTGCATTTTAGCCCGACTTATACTGAGCACATAGACCGGGTAGTGATATAAGTCAAGCGACCTTGGTGCGGTGAGAGTAGGGGGCGGCAGACTGATCAGTGTCGTTTATGTCTTCTATTTCAAGGTCTGTTCCTTTCTGTTTTTGAGTATATGATGGCGATCCTGAGTCATAAACAGCTTGAGATAATGGAAAGGATCCAAAACGAGGCTGTGTGTATTATACTTGGATGTACAAGAGATACAACATTTAGGGCGATGGGCTACCTTCTTGATTTCCCAACCATGGAGGACAATATAAATTTGTAGACCACAAGCTTACTTTAAAGTCAACACAAGCACACGAGACCCGCTGCATAAGGAAATTAAGAAGAGAATTGTCAGAGGGTTAAGAAGAGGAGAATCTTGGAGGCTTCATGCCGAGGAAATTATTCAGCAGATGTGCTCTCTTGAGGACAATGAACCTGGTGAGAAATGGGTACAAGTGCCAGCAGAGTTATCTGTGACCTTTTCTGTTTAGTAATTAAAACACCAAAATCCTATTCAATCCATCTGGGTTATAATTGGGATGTATTGATCATTTTGTAAAAATATTTTAATAATGTATATTTAAGTCTACCGATAATGTTTGGGTATGAAATATCACATAGCTTATGCATTTATTGTATATTTTTTTTAGTACAGATTATCACATTCGGTTATTTAGACTAAAGTCTCCCCCCATTTATTGACTCTTACACACTAGCTCACTTCTGACTGATCGACCTTCAGCCTAGCTTACTTCTGGTAGGTCGACCTTGAGCTACCCGATCTTGGTACAAGGTGACGGAAGTGTTCCCCAGTGTCGTTGATATCGCAATATTTTATCATGCCAGCGCTTTTAACACTCCAAAAACATCGACAAACTGCTTCTAACACAAATAGTTATAGTAATTATACTGTATAATCTATCTTTGCAAATATTCAAAGTGATCTGGGATACCATTATTCATTTTTAAGATATATCAACATCCGACTAGACAGAAAATGCAGACAACAAAAT